AGCGTATGAACAGAACTCTGAATGAACGTGCCAGAAGCATGAGGATACATGCCGGATTGCCCAAATTTCTATGGGCTGAAGCTACAGCTTACCTAATCAACCTTGGGCCCTCAGTTCCCTTGGATGGCGGAATACCAGAGGAAGCTTGGAACAAGAAAGAAATAAACCTTTCACACTTAAGAGTGTTTGGTTGTATTTCTTATTTACACATAAACTCTGCTGAAAGAAGTAAACTTGATGCCAAGTCCAACAAATGCGTCTTTGTTGGTTACGGTGGTGATGAGTTCGATTACCGGTTTTGGGACTACGAAAATCAAAAGATCATCAGAAGCAGAGACATCATTTTCAATGAAAATGTGATGTACAAAGACAGGTCAACCGCAGAATCAAGTAATACCGAAGCTGAAACAAAGGAATTTGCTGAGTTCGAGGAGATTTCTGGAAATGATGTTCAGATCAGTCCTGAAGTAGTTCAAGAGGAAGAACCACGCACACCAGAACTGAGACGCTCCTCCAGATTTCCTAAACCAACCCAACGATATTCTTCTTCTTTGCACTACTTGTTGCTGACTGAAAATGGTGAACCAGAATGCTATGATGAAGCAATGCAAGTGGAGGATTCAGTCAAGTGGGAGTCTTCCATGAAAGATGAGATGGACTCGCTAATGTCAAATCAGACATGGGAATTAATTGAATTACCACCAGGCAAGAAAGCGCTCCATAACAAGTGAATTTACAGGATCAAAGAAGAGCACGATGGGAGCAAGCGCTACAAAGCAAGATTGGTTGTCAAAGGCTTTCAGCAAAAAGAAGGTATTGACTACAATGAAATTTTCTCTCCAGTCGTAAAATTGTCTACAATCAGACTGGTGTTGAAAATTGTAGCTGCAGAGAATTTACATCTTAGCAGTTAGATGTAAAGACAACTTTCCTTCATGGTGATTTGGAGGAAGAAATCTATATGAGGCAGCCAGAAGGCTTCATAAAAGCAGGCAAGAAAAACATGGTATGCAGGTTGAAGAAGAGCTTGTATGGTTTAAAACAAGCTCCTAGACAGTGGTACAAGAAGTTCGATAGTTTCATGGGTAGCAGTGGTTTTACCAGATGCCAAGCAGATCATTGTTGCTACATCAAGAGGTTCGACAATAGCTTCATTATTTTATTGTTGTACGTTGATGACATGCTCGTTCTGGCTCAAACATGCAAGAGATTATACACTTGAAGCAAAAATTGTCGAAGCAATTTGCTATGAAGGATCTGGGCGCTGCAAAGCAGATTCTTGGGATGAGGATCAAGAGAGACACAAAGTCGGGGATTTTGATGTTATCAAAGGCTGAGTACATCAACAAAGTACTCTTTAGGTTCAACATGCAAGATGCTAAATCAGTAAGTACACCTTTAAGTGTTCATTTTATACTCTCCAAAGAACAGTCACAAAAGACGGAGGAAGAACGTGCACACATGGTGAATGTGGCGTATGCCTCAACAATTGGAAGTCTGATGTATGCCATGGTTTGTACCAGATCAGATATTGCTCATGCAGTGGGAACTGTTAGTAGGTACATGAATAATCTGGGCAAGGTACACTGGGAAGCAGTCAAATGGATCCTCAGATATCTGCGTGGTACCACAAACAAAGCACTTTGTTTCAAAGGTGGAGATACGATACTGACAGGCTATGTAGATGCTGACTTAGCCGGAAATGTTGACATCAGAAGAAGCACTACAGGGTATGTCTATACTCTAGGAGGAACCGCTGTGAGTTGGGTTTCTCAACTACAGAATATAGTTGCTCTCTCCACAACCAAAGCAGAATATGTCGCTGTTACGGAAGCCATCAAGGAGATGGTCTGGCTCCAAAGTTTCTTGGAAGAGTTAGGCAATAAACAAGAAAATAATGTCTTGTATTGTGACAGTCAAAGTGCTATCCATCTAGCAAAGAATCTGTCTTTTCATTCCAGAACGAAGCATATACAATTGAGATATCATTTTATCTGGTCTCTTCTGGAAGATGGGATTTTGAAACTTGAAAAGATTAGTGGAGCTCAAAATCTGGCAGACATGTTGACAAAGACGGTGACTACGGACAAACTGAAGTTGTGTTCAGCTTCAGTTGGCATGCTAGAATAACAAGACCAGAAATGTTGTTGCATTGATCAAGGTGTGAAGACATATTAAAATCAGTCTTCAAGTGGGAGATTGTTGGAAGAAAAGTCAAAGGGGGCACCAGCGCTTGGTGGGGGCACCGGCTTTGCTTGATATTTTTCAACAAAGGCAGCACATGGGCTGCTAGCTAAATGGGCGGCTGAGCAAGTGGGGCGGCTTGAATTCATTGAATTTGATCAATGGTATAATCACACATTTAATCATTGTATTTTAGGGTATTTTCAAAGATTAGTCCTTAAGCTTCAACTATAAATACCCTAGCTCATTTAGCTTCATAATCATCCCAAAACATTTCTTTCTTCCTATACTAGAGAGCTTTCTTGTGAGTAGTGAGTGCTTTGTAAACACCTGTAAATTTTCTCTCTTAGTAAAAGATCTGCAGCAGCCCGGAGACGTAAGCACAATTGGCTGAACTCCGTTATCAATTTTCGGGTATTATTTTTCCGCTTTTATTTCGCATTCTCACTAATCTGGTTATAGGGAAATTACTTGTACTCGTATATTTCCTAACATGAACTACCAAGCATAATTAAACATGCAAATTTATAAATGTTCATGCAAACTCATGTACAAGTAAAAGGTTGCAATGTTCCATTGAAATGGGTGTTTCATCTTTCAAGTTCCCATTTTGACAAAACACTTTTTCCATAGCTACATGAAATTTTCTTGCCCTAGCACGAGTTATAAACGTTCTTCCTTCGAATTAAAAGAGACATTCATTGATTTTTCCTTGCTTTGTTAAATTAAACTAGGATGAGCTCTTTGAACATTCTTGAAGGCTATCAATTTTCCTTGATATATGTTCTCGAAGAGGCTACAAAAAATCTAACAAGATTTGTAGCATGGATAATTTAAAGGTTATCAATTTTCCTTCATCTAAAATTAAAGGTTAAAATGACTAAAACGTTCTAGATCAATCACATGAATAATTTAACATATTATTTATTAAATTATTGATCATAATGATTTTAAATATTATTTATCCGCAACATAAACAAATGACACACGTGGCAAAAGCAAATCCGCACTTGAATGATTCGGATTTTTCCTTCTGACCAAGTCCTCTTCTAAAAATATATCATTATCCAAGTCCTTTGATTTTTTTTGGTATCTATTTAATTTATTACCTTCCATTTTGTCTTTGGGTTTACAATAATGTCTTGTTTTTATATATAATGTCTTTTTCATGCACGTTGGAGGTAATGTTTTAACTCTATGGAATATTACTCCTCCCCTATTCATTATATAAGAGTAAAATCAAAATCAGATAATTTAATTTGTGATATTAAAATTTAAAGTGGATGAGGTTGTCAATTATTTTTTAAGTTATGTTATTCTTCTTTTAAATAAAATTTATTAAGAAAAATTGGAGTGTCATCTCACACTCATAAAATTAACTAATTTCTGTATGTTCTTATACAAATTTTATGATAAATATTTTAATGGTTTAATCATTAAATTTCATGTTTTCTTCACATAGGTCATACACATCAAGTTTTAATTTATATTTAATCCAATTAGTTTATTTCCACTACTCTGATGATTCTAAATTAATATAAAACTAAAAGTTTTTACATTGTGTAAATATGAAATTGAAATTAGGACTTTGAATTTCTCAGTATCAGTTGATTGATTGTTCATGCACCATCCACTTATCCTACGAAACCGGATTCATCGACGCTTGTATTTCTTTGAGTGTCCGTCCCCTAGTCTCCGGCACCAGCTTCGCCACGAACAGAACAGTCGAGCCACATACGGTGGCGAAAATGAAGAATGTTCCTGGAAGACAGTGTAACGTGGGAAAGAAAGGTCAAATTCTGTGGCTAAAATGATAACGTTGACAATATCAGATGCATTGATTTTTAACTGTTGAGCTCCATTTCATGAGGAAGTTAAATGCAAAGGAAATAATCCAAGAGCCTAACCAGCTAACCAATGTCACAAGGCTTCCTGCTGAACCTTTCATGTTTATGGGAAATATCTGAAATGCTAACCCTTTTTTTTAGTTCATATAATATTGAAGGCTGCAAATTAATCTAGATCATGGTAAAATTATCTCGGACAATATAACCCAAGGTATTCCTTCCATGCCTAACGAAAATGATCCCGTGTACACCTAAATCGAGTCGAACGTATCAGCACTAGATGATTCTGTTCATGAAAGCTACTGCCTAAAACACTGATTCATTGTATTTACCAGTACACCAACAAGTGATAATATAGGAGTGGCTTCCTTCCATTGTTGAAGGTCCTGAATGCAGTCGAGCTTAATGTTTTTGAGAAAAGAATATAGAACATGAAAAGGATTTGGAAATTCGAGATCGATAAATCTGGTAGAACCTGCAAGAAAAATGACAATCCAACTAGGAAGCAACCCAAGCATGTTCCAGCTGCTGATACCTGTAGATATAAGTAGACTTCAGCAGGGACATTTGCACAATGTAATATATATAGAAGATACATTTCTAGGCTTTTGTACCAATAAAAGTGGTCTTCGTCCTGATTTATCGAGAAAGACTACTCCCAAAGCTGTCATTGGAACCTGCAGAAGATTATTCCAGTTTTTAAGAAAAGCATATTAACCAAAATGATATGAACTCTGATGATAGTGCAGGTCATGATGAACCGACCTGAAGGAAAACCATTGCTATCATTCCAACGCTACCGGAAAATCCTGTCACAAAAAACTTGAGATAAAATTATTTTCCAGTTTGAACTTCCTATATAGTTCTTCTATTGTTTCATAAACATGAAAATGTTCTTAACATACCAGCTGATATAAAAATTGAACTAGCATAAAATGCAATGACATTGACTCCCCCGAATTGTTGCAGAACCATTAGGCCAACTCCAACCTTAACCAGTTAGGTTACAGAACAAATATGCCAGCTTTTGAGCTTTTCTTGTAATGGGTACAATTTTACCTAACATGATCATGCAGCTCGGTAACAAAGGTTGCATAAAGGCATTTGAAATAAAATTATAAGGTAAAAAATATTGTATAAAGGAAACAGATCTATTTATACTTTACCTCAGCCACAGAGAGACCCAGATCAACTATGATTCCAGTCTGAGCAGGTGATGAATATCCAATCTGGTAAATTAATCATATTAGTTCAACTTTTGTAAGGCGAATGAAACAGTATGATTACCATCGGCGAATCCGAATACGAGTTTCTTAAGTCTTATTGCTTTTCAACAGGTGAACAAGTACAGTCCAGGTACTGTGTAGAATTAAGGTCAAACTTAGCCATTCAACAGTCATTGTAATCAAAATTCATGGTCAAGCAGGATAAGGGAAACCCCTTTACTTTGCAGATTAAGATTATAAGTAAAACTAATCATTTCAATATTGAAAACAGATAGTTACAGCAGTCCCAAAAACATAAGATCCACAAACAGCGATAATGGTGCTAAGAACAACCATAGTTGTTGCAGAAGTCGTAGTTCCAATTCCACCTTGTTCTTCACCGGAACTACCATGTCCAGCTCCATCCGGAGGCTTCTCTTTAACTATCAAAGAACTTGAAAGTTCACCATCTTCTATTTTCTGTCTACTCATCTCTCAAAAATTCAAGCAAGAGAACTGTAGCCAATAATTAAGCAACAGAGTAAAGGAGTTTCATTGGAAGTGGTGTAAAGAACAAAAGGACAATAACTTAATTTTTCAGTTTGAAGAAATGATAAGAGTTATCCATTGGGCCTGAGGGTCCCCACATGAAATGTGATATTTGTTGGATTGTTTGAATATTTCATGCATATTGAGTAAATGGTTTTCATTTGTTCATATGAATTAAATGTTCAAAAAGCCAAAACCTATAATATTTTGATATTTATAAGAGTCTCTCTAAATGAAGTACAGTTACTTGAACGGCTGAGCTGCCTGCAAAAGAAAATTCCAAATTTAGCTGCCATTTGCCAAAGAGAACTCAAATTCCAGGTTTAGATATTTAAAAAAATTGAATGTCTCAATATCATACAAGTGTACAGTTTACAGTATACAAATGTATACAGGGTCTTTTAAGACCAATATGAGGAAATGGAAACGGTTCACCAGTATTGTTCCTCCCTGGAAATGGTCACTTGTGAAACAAGAATGAAAGTAAACCATATATGTGTTGTTTGTAAACATGGTGCATTCAAAGCCATGCAAGATTAAATCTTATATGTTACGGAAAACAGGTGAGTGGTCGAAGCTTGTATTTCCTCCATTGTTCTCTCCTTTGTCTCCGGTACCAACTTGGCCCCGAATAGAACAGTTAAGGCTGTGGTTACTGAGAAAAAGAAAAATGGTCCTGCAATGAAGTTTTCTGATACATTTTAGTTCAGAAATGTAATGTTAATTTACTCTGATAGGGAGGGAGGGAAATGGACCATGTTTTAGTTAAACGAATCTATTGTTTCCAGATTTTAGGGCGAGCATCGATCTCGGAATTGCTACATACCTCTGACATTATGATCCATGGTATTCCCCCAATCCTATTGTGAAAGTTTTAGCACAGACCTGAGTTTGCAGTACTGATCAGTACAGGGACTTATTTGTTTCGCTATTTTGATAATACAAGGTTTTTGGGTTGTTACATCCTACTAAAACGTATTAATGTATCAGTACATTGCACGTATACAGTATACAGATGTAATATGCAGGGTCTTTTAAGACCGATATGTGGAAATGCAGAAGGGTTCACCAGCATTGTTCATCCTTGGGAATGATCACTTGTAAATATACGGATGAAAGTAAGCCATATGCGTATTGCTTATACATATTGGTGCATTCCTGTCCATTCCTTATGTCTTAAATGTACAGAAAATGAGCGATAGATGCTTGTATTTCCTCCAGTGTTCTCCCCTTTGTCTCCGGGACCAACACGGCCGCGAATACAACAGTTAACCCTGAGATTCCCAAGAAAAAGAAAAATGTTCCTGCAATCATATTTGCTGATACATTTTAGTTCAGAAATGTAATCTTAATTTACTCTGTTAGAGAAGAAACGGAGAATGACCTGCTGCGCTCCATTCCATCATAAAATTGAAACTGTAAGTAATGACCCAAGCAGTGGACCAATTGACTAGAGTCACCAGGCTTCCAGCTTGAGCTTTAGCATTGATAGGAAATATCTGACAAATAGTATGGACCATGTTTTAGTCAAATGAATCTCTTGCCTACAGCTATTGGGGAAAGCTAGATATGCAAGCAACGGCGAAGATTTCGATCTCGGAATTGGCACATACCTCCGACATTATAATCCACGGTATTCCTCCCAAGCCTATCGAGTAGAATGTAGCACCGATCTGTGTTTGCAGTATTGATCAGTTTACACATATAGTTTGGCTTAATATGTACTTATAGTTGTTTAGATGCATGCAGGCTCTACAAATAATCATGTATTGTGTTCATGATTACTGCATTGACAAAATAGGTAAAATATGCAAGACAGACTGAAGTACCAATGTGCCGGTAAATGCCACAGACGGAGTAAGTGCCTTCAGATCGGGGAATTCCTGATTGTAAAATAGCATCAAAGTTTTCAGGAAAAAAAAGAAAGAATTGGAAAGCTTTAAACAGGAAAGGACAATCTCTTGAAAAAAATTAACTAAATTTTGCAATACCTTAAAGCAGAATGACAGTCCCTGAAGAAAATAAGCAAAACACAGTCCACTTGCAGAAACCTGCATAAAATTCGATTGATTCCATATTTACTTGTATGTTCAACAATTTTACCATCTTGAAATGAATTTTTTATGAAACTAACCAATAGGAGCGGTCGTCTGCCGGATCTATCCATTAAAAATAAACCTAAAATAGATGCCGGAATCTGCAAACAACAATGTAATTGGCATGTCTCGGAAATGCTTGGAACATAATTTTACATCAACTCCAAGTTGGAAAAGAAGCCATGAAGGTACCTGTACAATAGCTAAAACTTGAAGGCCAAGGTTACCTGATATGCCTGTTGCAAACAAAACTGTGTCTTCTTTGAATAATTTCTGCTGCAATAATTATATAGGAAACAACATGGAAGACGTAAATTTACCGGCTTCGTTGAATATTCTACTGGTATAATATGCCATAGCACTATTTCCTCCTAGTTGTTGCAATAACATTAGGCCAACTCCAATCTGCAGAGTTTAAGAAGCCATATGTGAAATCATCAGGAAAGTCTTTAAAAGAAATTAGCATACTAATCGAATGTTATTCGAAGCTCACAATGAGTGCATTAGCATATCTCCTTTGGAACAATTCGAGGAAACTTTCTTCTGTCTGTTGCTCAAGAGTTTCCATATAAACCTACAAGATATTGTAAGCACATAACATTTCTTGTTATCATGAGGAAAACTGTGTTCACAGAAGTAACAAGATATCAAGCCAATACGCTACTCTGATATCAGAAGCTTCTTCGGAAATATCCGAGTCCTTTCCCCTTAGACACTTCAAAGAAGCCTCAAACTCTTTCTCTCGACCGGATTTTGCCTGCAGAAGTCGGTCATGTTTTGCATTCACGTGTTCGTTTTAACATGTTATGTACTTGAAAAGCATCCAAAGATTGGCAGACTACTATGTTAGGCTTACCAGCCATCTAGGGGATTCCGGAATAAAAAACAAGCCTATAATCTGTACTACACAGGGGATTGCACCTGAAGGAAACGGAATGGATAAAAAACTTAACTAACACTACCTTTAGCTTAAGTTAATAAGAAAATTGTATATACCGATCATAGCCAGTGTGCGCCACGAAATGATTGTTCCAGTGAAAAATATAAGTACAAACCCACATGTAGTCATCAACTGCACCATTAAGAAGCTTAAATTGAATTAACGATAAGCTGAAAATCACATTTTCAATTATGGGTTTAGTATAGTTTACCTGATTTGCCGATGCAAATGATCCACGGTGACTCTTAGGTGTTATTTCAGCTATGTAAACAGGAACCTGTTTTCATATAGAAAGCTCAGCTATATATCATCGTTAAGTTACTTCAAAACTGTTTCAAGCTGATGAAATATGTATGAACTACAAACTTTAGTACATTACCACATAACAAATCACACCAACCCCGATTCCGATCAACAGCCTTCCGATGTCCAGCCACAAGGCATTCTTCCAACAAAAGTAAACACACACTTCTTACGATCTTTCTTACGAATTGTTCCATTATCGAATTCAAAGCTAAGTGTAGCTTTACCGGAAAGGAAATAACTTAAAGTGGAAGTTAACCTTTGCGAATGCTATTGATAGCCACCCAGCAGTGCAGAAGACATCAGAGAACCACATTGTCTGTTTCTCAAGAGTATAGGAACACATTAATTTAGAAGAATATGTAAAGGCTTAACCAAACAAATATAACTTACCCGTTTTCGACCGATAAGATCTGCTATCTTCCCACTTAAAAATGCTCCTACCATTCCTCCAATTGTCGTTATTGAACCGAAAACAGAGTACTGCAAATTGGTGTCAAAGATTACACATCTATATTACTAGGATTCTTCGTTTCTGCACTATATCTATATCTATGTCCAATACATATTCAAATATAAATAGGAGATGAACTTCGAAAAAATTAACTATACCTGTGTTTATCACTCACAATAATCCGAGTAAGATAGTTAAATAAACTCACCTACAGCTTTCTTGTGCTTTAAGAAAGTAAATTGAGTAGGAAAAAAAGAGTAGAAAAGATTGGCATGCACTAACTGCTGACACAGAGAGGCTCAAGTCTTCCATGATCCCATTCTGCACAGGTGATGAATAACCAATCTGGGTTCATTTTCAAAGTTAGTTCATTATTTCATATACTTGCATATTAATATAAATTTAAGGTTCTTTTTGCTAAAAAATGTTGAAGATCTTCACGTTGAGGATATGAGGAAGAAGAAGAAGAAAGGGAAGAGCTTACAGAACAGCCATGGCAGAAAGAGCCACAAACGGCAACAAACGTACTGAAGACGAGAACAGATGTCAATGAGGAAGCTGCCGGCGATGATGGTATGTTAAGGTCGCTGGTAATACTGTCACCGCCGGCGCCACCATTGATGCTTGGTTTTGTTTCATTTGGTGGTCCATATCTGCCTGTTAACAGCCCTTCTTCCATGCTTTCCCTCTCCATTTTTCCTACTTCTGAAATTGTTGAAGAACCAAGTCAAACGTTGAATCTATATCTCTGCTTTTTGTTTTCCATGATACAACTTTCAACCTTTCTACATGAATAAAGAAATATTCACCTAATTTCTTTTAGCAATATTTTATTTTTACATTTGCAAAAGTCACCATAATTACAATAATGCATATCTTTTTATATGTATTCACGTTTCTTCCTTGGACACACGTTATTAATTTGTTTTAAATTCCGAGTAAGGTATACAAATGATCCATTGATTATAGGATATTATTTTGTTGAGTCCTCCGACTATTAAAAGTTACAAAATGGTCACTCAACTATTCATTATTTTGAAACTCATCATTTTCCGTTAAAAACTAATGATCGTCTAAGTTGGACGTTAACATGTTGATTAAATTAGCTGACTCTGTTCCCATATGTAATGGGATAAGGGGGAGGTAGAGTAGTAGGCTGCCCCAACGCCAGGTTGAGAGCAGCTTACGTGGATGACCTCCGAATTATGAATTGCTCATCGTGGGACTCGATCCCACGACCACAAGGTTAAGAGTCTTGCGCTCTACCAACTGAGCTAGGCGGGCAATTCTAATGTTGATTAAGATATGATAAAATCTAATCTCATAATCTCAAACGACTATCATATCTCAATCAACATGTTAATGTCCAGCTCAGACGATCGTTAACTTTTTAACGGAAAAGGATGAGTTTGAAATATAATGAATAATCGAGTGACGATTTTGTAACTTTTAATAATAAGGGGACTCAATAATGTAATATCCTATAGTCGAGGGTCTATTTTGTAACTTTATCCTTAAAATTTTCATCAGCCTAAATTCTAACATATACATATATTTTATTAGGTAAACCACAACCATTTAATAACAACGATTTTAATTTGATAATCGATCTCTTGTTAATCAAATTATTTAACTAATTAAATGATGTCAATCAAGTTACATACTATTAACATTTGACGGGAAATTGAAATGATGGATAGTCAAAATGGTATAATTACACATTTGGTTTTCATTACTTATACAATATATCAATTTAGTTTAAATTTTAATTTAATTCAATAAATTTAATCATATAATTAAATGATAACATATGTCATTAATGATATAATGTGAGCTGAACTACAACATTATGTATATATCTTATATTATAACTAAGGTCAGAAAAAAAAAATAAGTGACAAAGAGTGTATTCGAATTCAACAATTAAAGGGTTTGAGAACACCTAAATCACTAATACAATTTTAATTGTTGGTTTATAATTGGATATATATATATATATATTAAGATTAAAAATAAAAAAATAAATTTAAGATTTTTATATTTTTAAACTAAATTTATTATTTCTTTTTGTGATTATATATTAAAAATTCATTTAACAAATTCAAACTACACAAGTCAGATCATAAGATAAATTTATAATTTGAATTTGAATTATGTTATGTTATAACTTAAATTAGACATTTTAAACTTTACAATTCAATAAAAATTTACTAAACTATAAATAAATCATAAATTTAATTTTTAATAAAAATTATAATTATTAGTTATATTAGAAAAATCTTAATTTAATCATTGAATTATACGAAATCTATTGTAATTAGGTAATAATTGATGTAGTTTATCTTATTTTATTTGTTGCTTGTGGAATCAATTTTGGCTTTAAATAGTTTGCTTGAATATAACAAAGGTGTATATATAAGCATAGGGTTAATAAATAATTATGAGATGGGACCACTCACTTTGATCTTTTGATCTTCATTTATTTTAATATTATGTTGATAAATATATTTTTGGATGAATTATTCACCAAATCATTTCCGATATCTAATCCCACATATTGTCCAAACTACCCAATGCTAATTATTGAGATAATAAAATATTAAAGCAATTTTTTTAATTTTAGTTGCCTTTTCGGTTTTCAGGGCTTTATCCTGACTAATCTGGATTAATCTGTGTCGTATACCTGATTTTGATAGGTGATTGAGTATCCCAACGAAAATTTTCTACTTACATAAGGACTCGAATTTGAGACATTACTTAAGCGATATTAAACTACTTATCACTTGAATCAACCTCGTTGATTAAAACAATTTCTTTTTGTTCAAGAATCTTCTTGACATAAAAACCCTTATTTATTTAACCATGTTTATCTTTCCAATTATTAATATATATTAAACTATAATATATATTAGTAATCATCTCTAAAAAGGATGACAAGAAAAAAAAATGAAAATTTATTTGTAAAAATATGACATTAGAAAAAATAGTAAAAAATAAAAAAAATATTCATCATTGATGGGACGTGATGAAAATGATTAGAGGCTACTTTATTCAAGTATAGTAATAAATTAGACTCGAATTTTTTAAATTTTAACTTTAGTCATAAAATACAACTCGATAAATTGAATAACTTGAATTTTTTTTACTCGACTCGATCGAATGCTCACATCTATTAGATAGTTTATTCAACAAACCAATTTTTGACTAAGAATAGTAAAATAAGTCCATTTTCTTGATCCTGACGATATGAACATTTTGGATTTGGTGAGAGATTAGTTAATTTCAATTGACTTTTTATTAAAAAAAAACTGTAATAACATTTTAGTTTCTTTCGTCTCCGGAACCAACTTGCATTTACACTGTGTCAACTCAAAAGTAAAGAATCAAGTGCATGAATTCTCTTATATCTTTCTCTAACATGTTACGGACTTAAAATGCTTCCGAATACTATGGAGTTAGACTTACCAGCCATCTAAGGACTCTGGAATGAAAAACAAGCCTATTATCTGTACTACACACGGGATTGCACCTGAAGAACAGAATAGATAAAACACTAAACTAACACCATCTTTTGCTTTATCTAATAAAGCCTATAATTAATATATCGTTCTAATTTAGTCACTAATTTTAAATGTTTTCATTTATTTTACTGCTTTTAAATATATCGTTCTAATTGTATTTTTATTATTTTAATTGTTTATATATTTAAATATTTTTATTATTATTATGTAGTCATAAAATATATAATAAATAATAATATATATTTTTTTCAATAAATTATTTTAATATTTTTCAATATCGAAGAAAAGGGCAGTCTTAATACAACTGGATGTCCTATTCTGGTATTTTAAAAATAAATGCTATAAAAATTATTATTTAATTTTATTTAAATTAATATTTATTAATATCAAAGAAAAGAACTGTCTTAAGGCACCTAGAAGTCCTTTTCTGATATTTCTAAATAAATAAATATCTTATTTATATATGTATATTAATATATTTTCTTAAAATTATTTGAAATAACAGAATTATGAGTTAAATATATTTTGAATTTTTAAATTTCTAATAATAGAGACAATTTATAATTAAAAAGTACTAATTTTGGGCGTTGTAGGGGTGCTAATCATTCCCTAAACGTAACCGACCACGAATCCCTTTTTATCATTAAAAAGAATGAATTTTTGGTTATAAGCGCAGATCAGTTCATCTTTTAACTGATGTTTTCTTAAAACTCTTTTAAAAGATAATTTTTAGGTATTCGACCTACCTAACCCAAAAGGTCAATGGCGACTCCCAAATTATTTTAAAAACCATTTATTCACATCACTTTTTCCGTCAAGTATTTAAAATTTCGTGTCCGGACGAAAACCGGTTACGACAGCTTGGCGACTCCGCTGGGAACAGTCATGCTTTGAAATTAATTATAAATTGTTTCTATTAATTAGAAAAAAAATTCATTTATTTAATTTTTAATTATTTTCTTTCAAAATTTTTATTATTTATTATTTTTATATTATTTTATTAATATTTTTTTCAAGTATTAATTATTTTATTTATCTGTTAGAGGTTTGAACATTTCTCCTCACACACAACACTTGCATTGCATAACATAAAGCTCTATAATTGAGTTTGTCCCTTTTAAGTGGGAGTGAAAGCGACGTCTTCGTGAGAATTTATTCTCCGTGTCAGACCTAGCAAGTAACTTTCGGGGTTCATATGCTCTATGTCTTCGTGAGAATTTATTCTCCGTGTCAGGTATAGAGAAATGTATCGCCTCGAATTGAACTCGATCCGCTTAAGTCTGTAATGGACTAGGATTGAGGGTTGACAGCCTAAGAGGGCATCAACAAGGACAGTTCGAGTACCTTTACTCCTAGAACTAAAAACCTGCATATAATAAACCCTAAAAACTCTCCTGATCTGAAACCATTGTAAATAGGTATACACAAAGGAGAAATAAGTTCTAGCTTTTAATTTATTCATTATTTTTTTTCTGAATAAATGCCTGCGAACTAGAAATCATGCAGTTAGGTTAATTTTTCCAAACAAAGCATGGAACTAGAAAGCATGAAGTTAGGATTTATACTTTGATAAATAGGATCTTTTCTTTCCATTAATTGGTACTAACCAATTTCTTTTTTCACTTCTCATTTTTTTCATACATATTGTTTGCTCTAAACTTGTTTATATTTGATTTCTTTTGTTTGCATTGCATGATCATGGCATAATCAAAAGGTATTGACTTGAAAGACTGTTCATCAAATTGGAAAGAAATCGTAAATGGACAAAAAGTTTTATGATCAAACAAAATATGATGCGGCCAAGGAAAGACATCCTGAAGAAACTCTGAAGATAGAAATGAGCAATGCACACAGAGATCCTGTTATATTAATACCAAAAGTACTCCACAAAGATTCTGCCAGATTGATACCAAAAGCAGTCTATGGCAAGAGCATCAGTCAGGGCATTCAGAGTGGAGGAGGCTTTTATGAAGCTCAAGCATGTTATTTGAAGGACTTGAATGACCAAAACAAGAAATTGAGCACAGAAATGAAAACCATGCATGAAGATTTTCAGAAGATCAGTCAAGCCTTTCAAAATGCTGGCCTAGGAAGTACCCCAGAAGAGTGGATAACAGGGGTCACCAAGCTGAAAAAGAACTGCAACTTATATGAAAATCTTGTTCAAGAACTTCTTGGACAAAAATGTTCTCTTACAAGGGAAAATGAGCAACTCCGAGAAGTGACACAGA